TGTGTGTGTGTGTGTGTGTGTGAGAGAGAGAGAGAGAGAGAGAGAGAGAGAGAGAGAGAGAGAGAGAGAGAGAGAGAGAGAGAGAGAGAGAGAGTAGCCCTTTAACATTAATCACAAAACCCCTACGGGTAATCCTAGAGGCCCCTGTGCACATAATTAGCAAGAACCTCCTTTCCACAACAGTGGCACTTCTCGACCAGATTCGGTGAATAGCAGGCCAACTCACCACGTGATTTTCAGGGCTTCCCTCCCCTACTCACCAAATGTGTAAGACTAGAATGAATCTTCTGCTAGAATGTGGAATCATACACCGCCATATCTTTTGTCTTCTGTGCAAGTGGTGACGAGTGGAGCCAGGCCCTTAGGGCACTGCTTGTAGGAAAAGGAAAACAAAAGAAAGAAAGAGAGAATACAGCAGTAAGTAGTTGTAGCCCATAACTGCCGGAACACAGACCTGAATTCGGATCCAGAAGATATATTCCTGGCCTGCTCCTTGCTCAATCCGAAACTCGTTGTGCGTCTCCGCTGAGATATAGGAGCTCTGCAGATTCTCTGCTGGTGGCCCTTCAGAAAAAAACGCTATATGCAATGAGGAATACGGGGCCCTATTTTTTTTTCCTCTGCCCTTAAAATCCGCAGAAGGGAGGAGCACGTCTGGCTACCTCAGTCACCCCCAATACCCCTATACACCCCCTCAACACCTCCAAATCGCCCCCCAACACCCTCATTACCCCCTTATAACCCCCCTATACCCCCCCCAGCCCCCCCCTACCTCCCCTCATCCAGCGGATTTGGGCTGTACCCAGCAAGCGCAGTACAGCCCCTAACTCAGGTTTAAAAAGAAATAGTGGATGGCTCTTTCCTGACTGGTCAGCAGACCGCCGACCGGTAGGCCCTACCGGTCGGCTGCAAAACCGTCGGCGGTCGGGGTCGGCGGTCGGCAGGGATGCAACCCTGACTCCAAGCATAAAAAAATCATGTGATTGGTCCATCTGAAGAGGCAAATGGTCCATGGGTCATGGCAGCAAGCAAATTGTCCGTGGATTGGTCCATGGGTCATGGCAGCAAGCAAATTGTCCCTGGATTATACGAACTGACAAATGGCCCCAGCAAATGTGCTGCCACAGTCAGTTACCAAGCTATTGGATGGTTTGCCTAAACAATTACAAAACTCTTACCGTGGTACCACAACAAATGCTGTAAGAAGTTACTAGAAAGTTAAAAACTTATCAACAAATGCTTTTGTCTGCTTCCCTGTTTACCCCATAACCAGCAGGTTGCTAGCGTAACATGATGACAGCAAAACAAAGGTGTTTTCCATCTCCATGGGGCATGCAGCACACATCTGCCAGGGATTCAACGGCACTACAGCTGTATGAAGTGCCGATATGAACACTTCCCATCATGCATGCCCTATCCGAGAATCGAACACACAACCAACGGCTTGTCAGGCAAACACCTAACCAAAAGGCTAAGCGGGCATGGCTAACCCTCTCTTGTGGTCTAAACCCGGAGTGACCACTGGGTTAAGTATCGCAGTGATGGCGGATGTTCGAGGACCAACTTCTAGAGGAACCAATTGTTTTGGAGTTGGTTGTACTGTCCATAAGCTATGGATGCCAAAATGCCAGAACGGAAGCTCCAATTTGGGATGATTGCCGCATTCTTCCCCCAACCTTCCAAATTCCCCTTCAGAAGATTTGGGGAAAAGCGAAAAAACACAATCGGGTTGAAAGGACTCTAAGAGTCTAAACTATCAACAGCAGACATTCAGGATGCAGAAGCGAAAACCATATGAGAAGTGGTGCGCAAACCAGCCAAGTGTGTCCTCTTGCCTTCATAGTCAACGGAGATTGCCCATCCAATGTCAAACAATCAAGCGGGGGCGTCAAGGCCGATGACTTTTCCGATGGCGACTGTCTTGCCTGTAACGCATGAACACGGCGGAAAAATCACAGACACCATCACGATGTCAATAACAATGACAACCTATCACTCAACCGCCTCCCAACGAGATCAGACAGCTTAGCTACCACTGCATTCACACGACTCAGCAACGTTCGAACAGGGCGAACGGAAGCGTGCAAGTTTGAGACTTGAGAAAACTAACTTGCTGACAGAAAAAGCAGAAGACAGAAGACAGAAGACAGAGCAGAAGACAGAAGAAGAACACAAAAGACAGAAGACAGAGGAGAACGCATTACTCTTCTCTGATCCTAAATGCTACCTTGAACAAGGGATTTGTCACGGCAGCTCGAAGGCCCAGGGAAATTGGTGGTGTGCACAGCATCACTACAGAGAAGAGAAGCCTTTGCCCATCACTCCAACGATGTGCTCAAGAACGTCAAATGTGCAGACAGTGAACTGTTCAATAGAGGCTTCCAAAATGCACGATCATGAACTGGGGTTCACTTCTCTCTAATACCAACCACGAATCCAGACCCCTAACGTGGGCGTCAAACCCCTGGCGTGCAACTTAGGATTCTGTAGAAAGCCAATATAAACAAACAGTGTGTCTGATTGCGTATTCAACTGGGCCTTTTGCGGAAGTTTTGCCCCCTTGCCCCACTTCCCTCTGACAGCCTGCCATTTCCCCATTAAGATTCATCACGACAAACTGATGAATAAAGTACAGTTACTTTGTAGTGTTTAGTAGATAAATTAACTGAGCAGAGAGAGACGAGGAACCTTACCTTCATCACGGAGAGTGAACCGCCCAAGCTGCGGGAATTCCTTGAACAACTCAACGCAGACGACTTGTGCAACCTGATTCACAAACACAGACCATGTAAGACATTCTATTGTGCAGGGGGCATGCTGATCCTACTCTCTGTATCAACCAATTTCAACGGACATCACAAATTCATCTTTTAGATTTTTTACTACTTTTGATCACATACACAGACATTCAGGTAGGTGCTCGGGGATCCTACAGTTGCCGGCGGGGGTTAGGGGTGGGGGCTAGAGTTGGGGGACTGAAATGTGCTGAGCTTGGTCTGCACCATGGTGGCAGAATGGCACACAAATGTAGCTGTTGTGAAACGCTGGAGGCATTCCAGTGCTGGTGCGCACAGAAGGTTGTTACGTGCACGCGCGCTCGCACACACACACGCACACACACACACACAGACACACACACACACACACACACACACACACGCACACATGGGATGCGGAGAGAGACTAAGGAGAAGATGGGGTGGGAGAATGATGCATACTCGGAATAATCCGAGTGATGCAATGGAGCCAAAGAATCAGCACAGTGATGACAAGGACTCGAATGGACAATGCAGTATCAGCAAAGCATCAACAAGCAATGTACATCCATATACATACAGAAATGGCACAATGTAGCGCCGTGGAAGACAAAAAAATATGACCTAACCTGTCGGACACTGACTCGACCCAACCCATCAGACACCACACATGTGAGAGAGAAGTGAGGGACCGCTTACACAGAACAAGGTCACTCCTTGAGCACGCACATGGGGAGAAACCACGGATGAGGGGATGGAGGAATAGCAAGACTAAGATGGAGATGAGGGAGAAGACCAAAGTCGCGGAAGCGCGGTCCAAAAAGACTCTCCCTGTTGAAGGTCCAATCAATGTCTCTGTGATGTCGAATCAGCTCCTGGGCCCCATAGCCCGACATAACCTCTGCCTGTAACCACTCTCTCTCTCTCTCTCTCTCTCTCTCTCTCTCTCTCTCTCTCTCTCTCTCTCTCTCTCTCTCTCTCTCTCTCTCTCTCTCTCTCTCTNTCTCTCTCTCTCTCTCTCTCTCTCTCTCTCTCTCTCTCTCTCTCTCTCTCTGTGTGTGTCTGTGTGTGTGTGTGTGTGTGTGTGTGTGTGTGTGAGTGTGAGAAGGAGAAGAAGAAGAAGAAGAAGAAGAAGAAGAAGAAGAAGAAGAAGAAGAAGAAGAAGAAGAAGAAGAAGACGAAGAGAAGTCTCCTCTGTCTCTCCCTCACCTGCTGCTGCTGAAGTCCTTCCCTGGGTAGCAAGGAGAACGTGTTCACGCCCCTCCACGTTCGCGCGAATGGCTCGCGAACGTGTTCGGGCAAAACTTGTTTTTTTTCCCGTAAAAAAAAAACAAAACAATAATATTATAATAATAAAAATCCTTTTTTTATTTTTAACTCACGTTTAGCTACTCCAAGGCAAAAGTCGCTTGTACTGTTGTTTTACATGACATATATTTTTTTCAGATTTTTCAGAGATTGTTTTTTTTTATAATTATTATTATTTTTTTATGTTCGCGTTCGGAGGGTTTTGGGTGCTCGTTCGAGTTCGGGCGAACATGTTCTTGTTAGCCTCCGAATGCGAACACGATGCTGCTAGAGTCCTGGTGACACTGACTGGCGGAATGGCGCTCTCTGATGCAGGTCGCGGGAGTGCAGTCCAAGCTATGGCGCCCAGGTAAGTCATCCTCCAACCAGCAGCTATGGCTCTCCAGCCTCCGCTCTCCCACTACCTCCTACTCCTCTACCTCTATCTCTAGCGCAGCTCTTCAGAGTTGCATGCTGCTCCAACACCTCAGAGTTGCATGCTGCTCCAAAACCATGATGCTCACAATGTTGTCCAACTGAAAAATCTGTCGAACTGGACTGACCTCCCACTAGATATAGTGTTGGGCCTGGCTGGGCAGCCCAGCATCGGATCTAAGATCTGATCGAAGGCCATGAATGCAGGCCCAAATCCTCCTCCTGGTGGTATCTTGCTGCTACAGCAGATCCTACCTATTAGGGGAAAGTCCAAGGTGACACACCTGGAACATACAAAAATAGACCACACAGCAAGACTCAGCACGGATTTGTAACATAATATCATTAATATGTGGTTGCTTGTTTTGAGTGGTTTCTTCGCATTTCCCCGTCTTGAGTATATGATGTACATCACAAAAGACCTAGAGCATTCCCCCCCCCCCCAAACAAAAGAAAAAGACCTTGAGTACATCACAAAAGATTTCTTTGCTTGTGCTTTGTGAGAGCGATTACCAAAGTTCTATGAAAAGAAGAAAAAACAGGGAATTCCCAACGACTTTAGTCCACTCCCTTCTGAGACAGGGAACTTCTTTCTCTTGAGGAATCCTCTTTGTTCATGCCACTCGCTATCGGTACACTTTTGCGGTTATTTTCCTTGATATGCTGTACACACCTCACCACACCTCACCACACCTCTGGCTTACAATCTGCTTCAGGCATCAATCACAGTGCTCTGCAATGCAGCACGTAGCCTGACCATCAATCTCAGACACCTTCTCCCGCCCCTCGCCATGCCCTCAAAACCAGTGCTTTGCAGGCAGCTTCGCCGCAAGCAATGGACTATCTTGTGTATCTTGTGTTGTTCTATGACTCCTTACCTGTTGCCGCTCGTTGAGACATAGTAGTAATGCAACACAAGTGCTAACCTGGCAAGTTCTGGTGAGGGTGAGCATGGTACGGCTCCATACCATATGAGAGCATAAAGGGGCTTGGGATGATGAGACTGGAAGCAGCAGCAGTGAGTTAAAACAAACTCAAAGGGAGAGAGGAGCTAGTCAGCTGTTATCGAAATCATCCAAAAGTTACCAGAACTGTGTGGGAGTAAAGACTATGGCCAGATCCCACTGGTGCTATTTCTGTGCTACGATATTGCAAAGCTAGGCAGGTTTCCAACCAGTTTCACCCCGCCCTTTGCTCAGCATGAGCATAGTGTCATGGGGGCTTCCCTTATTATCATCATGCTTCCTCCTTCCCGACGAGACAATGCACGTTTGTTATCATCATATTCCTCCAGAACACAGGCGGGATGTGTCATGATGACAGGGGGAGAAACGCTGAATATATGGGGAAAGAAAACTGAATTTTGCTCGTCAGTCCTTATAGGGCACTATTTTCCACGGAGAAAGGGCTTCGCTCCACCACTCACCACTTGCACAAAAGACAAAAATTATGCCGGTGAGGTTCTAGCAGAAGATTGATTCTCATTTGGCACATTTGGTGAGTGGTGGAGCAAGGCCCTAAGGCACATGGATGTCGATTCCTTGACTTGTAACTGCGGACACCACATTTCGCTATACTGTCGTCCTCATAGTTCCGAGCACTGGAGAGGGGACGGGGAGGCAGCAAAAGGTGCAGCTTGCGCCGTCCAAGGCGAGCTTTTTTGCCCATCCTGCTGGACTATATCCTTGAAGGCTTCGAAGACTACCTCAAGTGTCACCTCATGAATGCCACTACGGGGCAGACCCCACTGGTGCTATGTTCGTGGCTGGAAACCTGGCTGTAATAACAGCAGCCAGGTCCGTGCTTTCCAAGCGCCTGACCCCAAAGTCATGCCGAGATCGTGAGTACCAATTAGACATTCATGGAGAGCCAACCCTTCCCTGCGCTGCCAATCACCCATACATGGACTAGCCAATATGCGAACCGGAACCCTAAGGGCCAGGCCGCGCTGGTGCTACCTTCATGCTTAAGAAACACGGACGTGGTCACAGAACTTGCCACGTTCTTGCTAAGATAGCACAAACATAGCACAAGGGGGCTCTGGGCCTAAGTGCCTGGCCTAGCCGGTGAAACGGTATTCACCTGTTCGCAGTAGCCAATGCAGACCCCAGGGCTCGATCCCTAGTCTTTGCCTTACCTGTGTACAGTATCTGTGTCAACCCCAGGAGTTGAACCCACGACCTGTGTCTTTTCCCACAGTTGGTACGTTGTCGTAGGTCTGTAGGTTACAGGGGTTCGATCTGTAGACCTGTCGAATAGGAGTCTTAGCGAGTTCTAGAAGTCATAGCTGTAGCTCCTTCGAAGGGTCAAGGTCGTAGCTGCTACAGTCCTAAAGGGTCAAGGTCGTAGCTGCTACAGTACCAAAAGGCCAAGTCCACGGTCTTCAGGAAGGTCCGGAAGTGGCCTTTCGGGCACTGCCCACAGTAGACCGAGGCAAGTGGGCAAGTGGTGGAGCCCACCTGTGCTGAGTCAGCGGTACCCAGTCCCAGTCAGTCCTAGTCCAGTCAAGCAAGTACCGTATGGGACTGCGTGCAACACGGGCATGGGAAAGGGGCAGACCAACGAGTTACAGAAGTATAAATCAAGAGGCAGCACCCACTACCTTGGCGCCTTCAATGGCGCCTGCGCAGAACTTCTTTGCGCCTTCCTTCAACCTCTTGACTTCGGTCCCGACATGGGTCACCACGTCGCGCGCAAACTCTCTAAATCCACTCCGGATGGCATGAAGGGTCACATGTTGGCCCTTATTGGCCTGATGTTGTTCAAGCCAAGCCTGACTCAAGACCTCAAGATACCCCAGAATCTTATCTAATTTCGCGGGGGTCTCCTCTTGTGCTTGCACTCCCTGCCTGCATGCCTGGATCTTCTCCACTTCCCTGGCCATCTGGTTGGCCTCCTCTCTCCTTCTCTTCTTCTCCCTGGCCAGCTGCAATTTCCACTCCAACCGCTTCTCGTCTTCCAACGTCTGGCGGTCCAGCGGGTCCTCCATAGCTGCCAGCTGCCTGGCTAGCACTTCCTTCTCCTCCTGAGGCACGTATAACATCGCCTCTTCATCTTCTCCCAGCGATAAGTTAGCCACCCACTCACTAATCTTCTTCTCCATCCACTTATCCTCCTCTTTCATGTCGCTGCTTTCTCCTCTTTCTCCCCCACGCCTCCTTTCGAGGTGTTCTTCTTCTACCTCTTCCTCCTCTGCTGCTGCTTCTTCTTCGACAGCCTTCCTTTTCTCTTTCTCCTCCTGCTGCAACCTTAACATCTCCTCCTCCAACTTTTTCTTCTTTGCCGCCT